TTTACTTTGTATATTGATTCAACTTAATGATAATTTTGAATAGATACTTTAAGAAAATAAACAATTTTTCTTTTTTCTGCTCAGCTACTGAGAAAGATGATAGTTCCGAAGACCTGTCAGTGCCAAGTAGTCCGCATACAGAAGCTATACAGCATAGTTCTGTGAGCACATCCAATGGAGTCAGCTCAACCTCAAAGGCAGAAGCTGTGGCCACGTCCGTCCTCACCCAGATGGCAGACCAGAGTACAGAGCCTGCGCTTTCACAGATGGTCTTGGCTCCTTCCTCCCAGTCACAGCCCTCAGGAAGTTGATTAAAACCCTGCGGTCCAACAGTTTTAGATACTCATTAGTGACTTCAAAGGAAAATCAAGGAAAGACCAGTTTCCATTTATTCGAAATCTGTGGTTGTAATTTTTTTTTTTACTTGAAATAAAATTTGGGTCTAAAGTTGATGTAGCAGCAGTTGATCAGACTGAACAAGTTTTTAAGTCTGGAAAAAGACTGATTTTGCTTTTTTTATAAATATTGTTAGATTTATTAATTTTTCTGTGCTCAATGTGTATATTGTATTATAATTCATTGTGGTTTATTTCAGTTTTAATTTGGTGGTGTTTTAATAAATGGGGGTGTTAATGAATCTCTTCCCACTTCCATTTCTTTTGCCCACTCCTTAGCCTTCAACTGTAGTGGTTGTCTTATCATTTGTACCAAAGTTTTGCATAGGGACTGTTGACTTTGTAATATATCCAAAGTCATAAAGCACTAGGCAAGAGAAAGATAGAAATTTGCTTTTAATCTTTTTGCCTTTATTTTGCACATTATGCAAAAGGAAGATTGTTAGAGAACAGCTTCTTTAGTGAAAACATGGGAAAAGACATACAGTGCTTTTATGTGCATTCTTAAGCTAAAAGTCATTAATAATACTGCATTTTCTTTTAAGAGTTTAAGTAGACAAAAATTTTGAAAAATTCAGCATTTCAAAAATGATTTTTTTTTAAGTCTTCAGTATTTCAAACCTATGTTTTGAGGCTGAAAATATGAAATTATATACTGTATGATAACAGGGTTATCAGGTATCTAGTAATTTTTGAAAACTCTTATTTGGAGCTTTTTGTTTTTATTTTTGTTTTTGCAGATTTCAGGTTACAAACTGAGAAGTTTATGCATAATCAAGTATGGTATGGTTGCCAGAAAAGCCTAAAATGACTACTTAGAAAATTTCAGACTGTTTACCCCCATTGTCTTGTACTTGCGAGCTAACTTGTACTTATTCTTGTGAAAGCACTGTCATCTTTTAGTAGCAAATTTTGATAATGTTTCTTGTGGAAAAAAATCAGTATCTATCTTTAGAACAATGTAATTATAATGTGGGAAATGTCAGTGAGTGAGTGAGAGTGTGTGTGTGTGTGTGTGTGTGTGTGTGTGTGTGTGTGTCTTTCAATAGTTTATGCCAGCAATCTTTGCTTGAATGTTTAATGATGCCTTCAGTGTGATGCTGGCCGATAGATGACTGCAGTTTAAAAATGTCATTATGTGCAGGCTTGGATAATTAACATTCCATGATGTAGCTTGTTTCTGATGAGATGATTGTAGGTACACTTTTCTCATTATTCAGTCATCTGTGGGATACTGAGTTTTCTAATGTGCCATTATCTATTTTTATTCTGCAGTTATGTTCAAAATACAATACAATATTTTAAATAGACTAAATTGTTAAACAATAAAAATTAAAAAGTAGTAGATGTGTGTAAGAAAACTTTGTAAAATAGTTGAGTCCTACCCAGTAGCAACTTCTGGCATTTGAGCAGAATTCCATTATGTAAATATATGTAATGCATTTATAATAAGTTTGCTCTGTATCCATACTACACCATTTGCTAAAGTCTCGGTACCATCTCCTAATGAGACTGACATTTTAAAAGCCTATATGGAGTATCCTTGATGATTCAAGGGAGTATCCCGCCTGCCTAAGTTCCAAACTGGGAAACATACAAATTATACAAATGATATTTCAGGGTTTTTAAGTATGAAGATAATAGGAGTTTTATTGCTGGCTTATTAAAAATGAGAGCATTTTTAGTTGGTCTACTTCTAAAATTTTTCAGTTTTTTTAATTGATTTCATAAATATAATCAATTTCTAATCATGATTTTGCTGTAATTCCACTGAGTTGATCTCAGAGGCACAAAATATGAATCCTACAAGAAGACTTATTCTTTACTGTAGTTTGGATGAGTTAGGAAAAGCCTCAATTTTTTACTTTCCTAAGTCCTTCACTGCATTTTTTTCTTTCCTCTTATTTATGCAAGTTAAAGTTTTTGGTAACAGAATTCTTGCAACTGTAAAATAAGACTACATAGATGTAAGAAGTCATGTAAACGGTTAATGATCTTACCAAGGTTAGCAAAACTTTCATTGTAAATCAATCTGTACTCAGCAAATAAAAATCATTATTAGTTGTATAAACACAGATTCCATTTTGACTTTCAGGATGTCACACTACTGTACCTAGCATTTTGAGTCCTTATATTTGCAATGTTACACAAACTGTACTATTTTCTTTTATGTGCAGTTTGCATGAGTAAACCATCAGAGAATAAATTCTATCTTTAAATTACATTCATAATTTGCTTGTTTTTACCTGTCTTTCACAAAGTAACATCACCTAATAATTTTTTTTTCTTCAGGGCATTTATTACCTGAGAAGAACCTGAGATTCTTTCCATTTCTGTGATGGAAGTCATTCTCTGTTGATCTCTTAACTGCAAGATGCTCGTGCCTGCCTGCTTTCTCTAATCTGTGCTCGCCTTAAACTTCGTTCATATGCAGTGACTATTTAAGTGATGTCCTCAGCTTGGGACGCTCCCTGAATTTTAGCCACAGACCCACCTGCCTAGCACCTAACAAAATACTTTTAACATGCCACGTCCAAGCCTGGCCTGGCCTTCCCTCAGCCCTGCCTGCTAGTGTGCTTCTCCACAATCTTTCGTTCATCTGTAGACAGCACAGTTCCTATTGTTCAACCCAAATCAACCTTCTTGGCCCCTGGGCTTCTGTCTCACAGCCCACATCCCACCCATCATGAAATCTATTGCCTTTACCTTCAGAATACTCTAAAGTGCAGCCACTTCTTACTTTGTTTCACCCTGCCTTACTGTAGTCATTTGTATTTCTGTACTTCCACCTCTGCCCACCACAACCTATCCCCAGAACAGCAGCCAGGGTGTTGCGTTTAAGCCCTGAGTCAGGTTACAGCATTTCCCTGCTCAGCATTCCTCCTTCCCTTCAGTAAGAAGTCTGGTCCTTAGACTGGCCTCCAAGGCCCCAGACCATTCACTTGTCACAGTCTCTCACATATTGTTTTAGTCAGTGACTATTTGGGTGCCACTAGTCAGACACTGTTAGGCACTTGAGGTACTGCAGTAGCCAAAGCCAAAACTCCCTGCCTAAAGAACTTACATTCTAGAGCGTATGGGTGGTGGTGGGAAACAGTCAACAAGTAAACTGTAAAATAGAAGAGCCCAGTGCTAAATGAAGGCACAGACTTGGACCAGTTTTCTGGAAAACGAGCAGTGACATTTTATCCATCAGATGAAGCCATTGAGAGATAAAGAATTGCATACCTATTGATGTACCCATTCTACCACTTAAGGTAGGTTATAGGATATTAAATAAAAAGTTTCATAAAGACAAGCTGATGTAGAAACATTCCTCATTTCATTGTACTTTACAGGTACTTTTTTCTCTTCTTTTACCAATAGGGGATTTGAGACAAACTGAGTCTTAGCAGTGCCTTCTGGCAACAGCATGTGCTGAAAGCTCAGGCTATCACCAGCATCTTTTAGCGATAAAGCATCTTTCATTTTCATGATGCTATTTACACACTTAGTAGGCTACAGAGTAATGTAAGCTTAACTTTTATAGAACAAAAAATTCATGTGACTCACTTTCTTGCATGGATCTGGAACTAAATCCACAGTATCTCTGAGGTATTTGTATGTTTGTATTTCTGTAACAAATAACGTTCAGCAAACAGGTGATTCAGCCAAAGGGTGGAACTTGAGCTAGGTGTAGTGGTACACACCTGTAATCTCAGCTCTTCAGGGGGCTCTTCCAATAGGATTGCAAGTTTGAGGCCAGCCTGGGCCACATGGTGAGACCCTGTCTCAAAAAGGAAAAAGCATTTGGGCTGTGACTTTGTGGTAAAATGCTTGCCTAGCGTGCACAAAGCTCTGGACTCAATCCCCAGTACCACAAAAAAAAAAAAAAAAGAATTCATGTTTGCTTTTACTTATTCCACAGGACAGGAAAAACAGTGCATTGTTCGTGGCATGTACTTACTGTTACATAGTTTGATAACTATGAAAACAGAATTAGGAAAATCTCATTTACTCCTAGGCCTTCATCTTAGATAAATGTAAACATGCACAAATGTTCACAAAATACCTACAAATATGGTTATCAAAGCAAGTTTTAAAAACAAATTTTGGGGGCTGGGGAAATGACTCAGTAGAATAAGCGCTTCCCTGGCAAGCGCAAGGATCTGAGTTCAATCCCCAGTTCCACAAAAAAAATAAATAAAAACAAGTTTTTAAATCTGATATAAAATCTTATTTCTAAATGTTTTTAGACTACAGAATAGTCTTGAGGCACTATAGTTGGGTTTCAGGTAGTTACAAAATATCAAGGGAACATTTTCAGATTTTTTTTTTTTTTTTTTAGATGCAGGTCTTTCTAGTTGTCTATACTATAGATTGAGACTTGGGTGTATATAGACACAGAGTATTAAGATGCTGGAGAGCCAGGATCCTTCTATGAGGAAAAGCACTCTAAATAAAATGTAAAATGAAAGCCTTTCTAAAGAACTAAACCATTTAGGTGAATTAAGTTCTTTACATATATTGCTCTAAGAAAAGTGCAGTCAGTAAAACTGTGTCCTAAATTAGGGCTCTTAATAAAAGACCGTGTGACACTGGAATGTAGAGTAACACAAAAAGCATGAGTAGTTTTATTAAAGCCGTCCAGAATGGCAAAGGTTAATATAAATAACAAACCTTTCTCAGCAACCAAGCTGAAGATTTGTCTAAGGTTCTTGTTTGGTTTTTTGTACTAGGAATCAAACTCACCATAGTTTTATTGTATTACCTAAGATATTTGGGAAAATGTCATTCAATACCTCATTCTTAGTTTATGTCAAGAAAAGAATCGACTGACTTTATTTATAGCTTTTGCTTTCTTGAAAGTACATAAAAGAACATTCCCCCAAGAGCTTTTAAAATTATTTTTGCATAAAGAAGGATGAACTTTTAAAAAAAAGATAAACTTGAGACATTTCTAGGCAAATGGATACACCTTGAGACCATACTGTTAAGTAAAAAAAATCGGACACACATGTGAATACCACATGGTTTCTCTGGTGTGAGATACTGAAAGTGTAAATGAGGACCCAAATGTATAATATTGTGAAATAGGAAGAAAGTGTTCAAATGGGAAGGGGAACTAAGGAGAGGGGAAGCGGGAAGGAAAAGGGAAAAAGATAAAAATTACAAAAGAATTAGTTTTGTTTAATTTTCTATTTTTGCTTAATTTTTAATTTTTGCTTTATTTTTAAGAAGCATGTAGGGCCAGGGAGATAGCTCAGTGGAAAAAGTGCTTGCCTGACTCGGCCTGCAAGTCGAGACGTGGGGTAATGACCTGGAGAAAGAATGAGGATGAACAAGACAGGGCAAGAGACACAAGAGACGGAGACAAGACAGGCTTTCTGATCAAGTCTCATTTATTGAGGAAGTGAGCAGGGTCTAAATAGCTGTATAGTGGAAGCAGTTGGGTGGGACTAGTTGTGGATTGGTAGTGGAGGTCCAGGACCACAGGAAGAGGCCGAGGCAAGCGGGGATTGGTGCTGCAGCACTTCTTGCCCAAATAAGGGAAAATATAACAGGAGCATTCTATCGCCCCCCCCCACATGTCCCCCCTTTTTATTAAATACATCAAGTGGAAATTGACAGTGCCCTGCGGGGACAATGCCTGGCTTGGGTCAAGGACTCCACATGAGATCGACCAGATCGTACCCGTCTTGGGATCGCAGGGCGGCAGTAGGCCCTGTTCCTGTCTTAGGTGGTCAGCGGTGCTGCATGTGGGTCCTAGTTGCCCGTCATTGACTACTTGTCCGTCTCACCAGGGGGCCTACATCAGATGAGGCCACATTATGATAGGGTCCATTTGAGGAAACCCTCTCACGATACTCTTGATGATCTGCCATTTCCAGCTGATGATAATGTATCTGGATGGGCTTTGCAGCAAAGGCATCTAAACGTGAGTTGATGAATGCTGTAAGCTTTAGAAAAATACAAGGTCCTATCATGAGCAACAGTAGGAGTGAGAAGAGGGGTCCCAACAGGGGCACAAGATAGGGGAACATTCCTCCCCACAACGAGGAGAAGGGGTCATCCACAAGCTCTTGTCTCTGCTTGAGTAGTTGATCCTGAAGCTCCTGGATTTTGTCTCGAACTATGCCTGATTTAACATAAAAACAACACTTTTCCTGTAAAGCAAGACATATTTCCCCATGCTCTGCTGTCAGAAGGTCCAAGCCTCTCCTATTTTGCAAGACCACTTCTGCTAGCGAATCTATCTGGTCTTGGATATCTTGGATAGTACCAGATAACGCTCAAACATAATCAATCAGCTGGTTAGATAATTTAGTATAAAAATATACTGCTACCCCAAACCCGCTGAACCTGTCCCCATGGCCGCTGTGATTCCCAGCCCCACTAATAAGGGGATGAATTGGACTGCCCTCTTTGTGCAGCCTTGGAAGCAGGCCTGGGCGTTCTGCTGCCACCTGCACCCTGCTCCCCGCTCCCCTGTTGTTGCTCCCTTTCTTTCTCCTCCCCTGCTTCTCCTCTGCCCCCACACTTGCCTGGTAAGCACACAATTGTGAGTTCAATCCCCAGGTACCAAAAAAAAAAAAAAAAAAATTTAATTAAATGCTGGGGCCGGGGAGATGGCTCAGTGGGATAAGCGCTTCCCTGGCAAGCGTAAGGGCCTGAGTTCAATCCCTGGTTCCGCAAAAAAAAAAAAATGCTGTTTTTCAAAGTTGACACAAAATTAGACAAAAATATTTAGCCTAGATACATTTAGCAGAATTCAAGATGGTGTTATCACAAGTTTCTCATAATGACAAATGAGATTAATGAGGAAATTAAAAAATTATCAATGCTATTATCTTCAGAAATAAACCTTTACATTATTATACCGCATTATATTTTGATTTCTTATTTCCACCAATGATTTTAGTTCTGTGTAATTTAAACATGGCTGGTTCCTGTCCATTTGGGGGAGGTGTACTTGCTGAAATTCATCATCGTAGGCTCTAATTAATAACACCAAATGAGGGGGCCAGCAAGCTAGCTCAGTGGTCTGAAGCACCTCCTTAGGCAAGCTTAGGCAGCCGCAGGGGACCAAGGTTCAATCCCCAGCAGCACATGCCGTGCCAGCCCCACCCTCAGGGTGGGCTAAGCCGGCCCAAAAATAAATAAACCAACACCAAATGAGTTATGTTATATAGCATAAATTTGGGCACTTAAAATTTTTTCAACGTACTGACTTCTCTCAATCCT